TAAAAATTTAATATAAGAATTTTGTTCTGGAAAATTAATATAATGGATTTTAGTTGATCAAAGTTTTCATTTTGTATCAAATTAGCTTAGTGTTACACTGGACATATGAGAACAATACAAATATTAGAAAGGTTCGAACAATAATGAAGAAGCAACAACAAAAATTTTAATCAATTAACTGAATCAAATTTTTGTTGTTGTTTCCTCATTATTGTTCGGACCCTTCTAAATTTTAAATAGTATCATTTCTCAAAATGATACTATTTATTATTAAAATAGTATAAAATATTATTAAAATTATTTTTACTACTAGAACATGATCCTGTTTCTAGCACCGATGTAACATGAACTAAATCTGAGTTATAGCTGACTATTATTATTTTAGAAGTACATAAATTAGCCAAAAGCAGTGAAATAAATTTCGGTATGAAAGAATAGTAATATATATGCTGTGCTCTATTAAGATTAGAGGATTACAGTTTATCATAAATGAACAGCAGGCTGATAAAGAAAAATCTACATAAGCAATATTACACAATATACTAATTCCTTGATTGCAAATTATTATTGATAACAAAATTTTGAATAATAACTAACATAGACCCGGGTCAATTATTCAGCATTCCGGGACTGTAAATACTTATTTTTTAAATAAAAGTATGTATACTACAATAAAATTATTTATAGAAATATTTAAACTATAATAAAATTCAGTATAAAGAAGAATATTATTTGTAGTGGCTGAATGTCGAGTTATTTTTATAGTAACTGAACAATACTTGACTAGAAAAATATTAGGAGTCTTCAGTTTTTAGTTCTATCTGTTTCTATATTCTATATTAGTTCTGTAACTTTTTATTTTATAGTTTCTAAATTATATATAAATTTTTAATTAATTTTTAATAACAATTGTTACAATAATTTGTGTATTGAATGATGTAGCGCTAAAATTTGGTTGTAAAAAAAAATTATACTATCAAATTAATATAACTAACATATTTTTTCAGGTGTATACGCATTTTTAAATTCGTTTTCATATATTTAAAAAAAAATATTTATATTTGTATTTGAACTAGTATTATATTTCAATATGTTTGCTTAACTAATAAAGCTTAAGTGCACTTAACGTTTACTAACAAACATACCTGCATATCCGTTACCAGGAAATGCGTATTACACTCGGTTGGATTCCATAGAACTCAAACTATGTAATAATTTTATAATTGATGATAACTAAACTAATGTTACGCATAACATATAAGAAGAAAAAAATTGTTATAGAACTAAACAAACTCATTGAGACCGAAGTTGTTATTGGGCTTTGAACTATTTTGTTATAGGCCAATTACTTACAAAATATCTCAACAATACACTTTTCTGTTGGAGCTGTTACCAGACTTGACTACGTAAGGAATGTTACTTAAATATTATTTTATATTGATTAAGTTAAAAAATTTCTAATAATGTGTAATAATAATAAATAAATATATTTAATAAATATATATTTTTTAAGCATGACACAAGTACACACAATTTCATTGTTAATATATTTAATAATATATTATTGTATGAAGTTGCTATCTGTTCTAGTTCTATTAAAAATATTTGTAACGATATCTAAATAAATAGCATAATGCACATTGAGTATTGTTGTTTTCCTTAGTTCTTAACATGCTATCATACTAACAACTAAAATTATAATAGGCTATTAATCTTAAGCGGATTCCAATTTATTGCCATAATAACCAAAATACTTAAAGATATTCCTAGCAGACCAGAACGATTCCCGAAATGATTCATCCACACAGCCACAACCACAACCCAGCCTTAAAACATGTCTTTTTAGTACACAGTACCCATTCAGCACTGTTGCCAAAGTGCTGAGTAGATTACGCCTTAGTTGAAGCAGTTGACTGGTAGGTTTCTTGTCTAGTTTAGACCAGGTCGATCTTGAGATGTTACAGAACCCTTCTATAACATCTCAAGTTTAACATCTCAGGAGTTTGTTTAGTTCTACTAAGGTATTTTTATTTGGTTGCCAGCTTAGCCGTTACAAACGAGATATAACTATTCGAGAAATTAATGTCAGAGAGCAGAGTGCTTGCTATGACAAACTCGTATGCCCTTCAGTTATCTGAGATGTCCCTGTATCCAGGTTCCCATGTGAGCTGAAGACTAATACAACTACCTATTTCGTTAAGAGAAGCCGGGCATTGCGATGTGTTAAGGATGTATCTCTCGCACTTGCCAGAGATTTGATAGCAGTTTGGCTGCTCGAGAAAATTACGATATTTACATCGCGGCTTTACATCGTAGCTAAACTCAATTTTGTTGCGTATTAAATCATCATTACTTCTTCCTAAAAGTTACTGCAATGGTTTGCTAGACGGAGCGAGATGCTAAGACCTAGTATATGGAAATGCTGACTTTTTATATATAGAACAGAGTTTTGCATGTGGAATTGGTAATTATAACATTATTGGTAACTAAGAATAGACTGTTTAGTAGACAATTTTTTGACTTATGTCGACTATGCAGCCTCTTTAACAAATATGCTCATAAGTGTATATCCTTCTAGTACACAGTGATTCGTCAGCACCGATACCTTTGTGTTAAGCATGTTTTTCCTTAGTTGATGCAGCTGAGTAATACGTATTTTTTGGCCAATTTTGAATAAGGTCTCGTTCTTTAACTTGACACCTTTCTTTATCATTAAATTTAACAACATCCTCAACATTTTTATATGTATATGGTACAGTAGTTACTTTCATTAAGGTGAATTACACCTTAAGTCTTAAGATTTTTTTACGCAAATATATCTAACTTCACTTTTACATACGTACCCTGTATATGTAGCTAAAGCTTTTGGTTTTTAAAATTATTTTTAATTTAAATTTTTTTTAAATTCTTTTAAATTTATTTTTATTTATTTATTTTTTTTTGCTGATAACTTCAATTAATGCAATTTGTTGTAAGTTAAATAAAATGAATAATAAAATGAATGCAACAAAAACTACAACAACAACAACAATATTACCGCAAGCAATGAAATGGTTAATATGTCTACTACTCCTCCCACTTACCCTTCTCGTTTTGAACAAAGAATAACAAAACTCGTAGTTGCATTAGGAATAGTAAATTTTTGTACGTAGCCAATAAATATACCAAAAGTTAAAATGGATAGTCAAAACGACAGACGGACGAGAACAAAGCGACAGACAGACTCTGTTTTGGTACTGATGCCATGCATAAGTAAAAAAAAAATTGAATTAAAACTTGCACATTTAAGCTGAAACTATTTACAAGTATTTATTCCTATCTGCAAAGTGGAATTTATAGTACGATTAATCGAAAAAAAACATTTCTTACATATGAACACCCCAAAAATACATGTAATAATGCACACATACATACACACGCTTGCCCGTGTATGTTTACATAAATGTATGTGCATTTAAATTTTTTGTATTAAGAAAAAATTCGTTAAATTAAAATGCGGAATACAAAATTACAGCATTGCCAATTGCGAGTTACAAAAGCAAAAATAACAAAAATAACAAAAACAACAAAAACAATAAAGCAAAAATAAGAACAACAACATTGAGAACAATTACAGCAGTAAAATAGCAGCCAGAACGACAATAAATCGTTTTCTAGGAAATCCAGTTTTGGTTTTTAACTTGAAAAATATCTGAAAAAAATTACATATTTAAACTGGATTTGAAAATGTGCTTTTTAAATCTGTTGTTTTTGTTGTTGCTGTTGTTGTTTTTGTTGTTATTATTATTTTTTGTTACAGCTAATGCTATTTGTTGCTGAAACAATTATAAGAGTAACAAAAATGCCAACACAAGTAAAGTGTTGTTGTTCTTTTTGTTGTTCTTTTTGTTGTTATTAGTGGCGGTGGCGATTGCGATTGTGATGATGATGGTGTTGCAGTTGATGAATATGGAACTTGGCTTTGACTTTGAGACATGACTTTGGCCTTACCGCAGCAAAGCTAAAGCAAAAGCCAAAGCCTATCTCAGTACCTCTATTCCATTACCGCATCGCATCCATATGTTGCTGTTGTATTTTTAATGTTCTTCTTGCTATAACTTTTTTGTCACTTCGCATTACATCACGAATGCATCAGATTCAGTGATGTTGCTTGCAACAACAACAAAAAATGTCATAAATAAATTGTATAGCAGAAGCAGCAATAGCAGGAACAGCAGCAGCGGCAGGAACAGCAGCAGCAGCAGCAGCATTATTGGCAGCGTAGTGAATTTTACGACAACAATAACAATAACAACAGGAGTTTGAGATACAGCAAAGGCAACAACAATTAACTAAAATTTTCATAGACAGACATTTCTGTCATTATTACAAACTTTTGTAGTCGCTAAATAAAATACCATAAATGGTCGACGTGATTTTAAGCTCAGTTGTTGCAACTGTTTTGTTGCGCTTGTTATGCGTGTATGTTCGCTGCTGTAACAACAAAGCAATAATAACAACAACATTACGAATATTAACAGCTAAAAAAGTGCATTTAAGAATTTCAAATGCTTTTCTTGGTAAATTAACTAAAAATGCTAAAAACGTTGTGTTTTTGTCTTTTGTGTCTTTAGCTTAAGAAAAGACAAAATGTTTAGAAAATAAAATAAAATTAGCAAAAATTCTAACTATCGGCAATATTGATCTGTAACACAACACTACGAATTTTAATATAGGCAATATATTGGTTGTATTCGGTCGCCTCGAAGCACAAAAAGTCTCTTACTAACGTCTTTAATTTGCAAGTAAAACAATGACACTACTCTCTTGCTCTAACAGACTAGTTATAAAGTCTCTTATTACCTTGCTAACGTC